AACCCAACCAAACACACACAATAATTCTTTTGATCTGTAGTATAATAAAACATATTTTTTATCAAACTTGAGAATTTGGAGGACTTGGGGAAAGGTTTTTAGACAAATAGCCTGAGGTTTTAGCCTTTCTGAAACAAGTGTTCTCAAAAGCTGAAGCCAGGAAATGGGAAAAGATTATACTAGAAATAACTCTAGGCTCATACTAGTAAAACTAAGCTCATAGAAGACATGTGTGACTGTAGTAAATGTGGTAACAAATGTCTAGTGGGGTTTTTTGTGAAATTTCCAGCTGAGAAGGTTTGGAATTTTAAACTTCTATCCACAGAAATAAAGGACTTGGAATTTTCTCAGAATCCCATAGGGAACATTTAGAACTCAAGGCAGAAGAAATCAGCTACGACACTCTGGAGCTCCACTGATGGCAAGATTATCTACTACAAACTTTTCAGACGGCTAAGGGTATAGGGAAAATATTTGTGAATTTAGATTTAATCATCTGAATTCCTGGTCCTAGATGAATACATGTCTTGTGGTGAATCTATATTGTAGTGTTGAGAAGCTTATTTAAGAGTAACTGTTGGGTGGCTGACATGCTAAACAGAAAATTGGAGAGAGAAGAGGAATTATGCCCATACTAAAATGGAAAATATAAGAGATAGCAGTATCATGTAGTTATCATCCAGTCACAAGGAAGCATGTGCTGAAGAAGGAAATTTAATGTCTTCTGAGTTCAAGCCCAACATTACAAACACAATTACAAGGCAGAGAACTCCATTCCTGCATAAATAATAGAAGGTAATGGATGTATTTTCTTTTTATCCCCTTTGGCATGTGCAATACATCATTTTCTGTTTGAGGAATTCACTTATCTAAAAACAAGGCATACTGAAAATAAAACCAGAATTCAGTTACTTTTTACTGAATCTGTAATGTTACAGTAGAAAGGATTCCTTTCCAGCTACCAAATATAATTATTTATGAAGTCTCACACTTCAGCTTACTCATGTGCTCAACTTTACTCCCAAATGTACAGTGACTTGTTCCTGTGTTTACAGGCTCAGATTTAAAGGAATAATAAAGGCATTTGTGTTGTTTGGCGAATGTGTTTCATTATGTGCTGTTGTTACTTTTGCTCTCAGGAAATCCCTTGCGTGAGATACCCTTACATTCACAGTCAAGACCAGTTCTCATGCGCTCCTGGGATGAACCAATGGAAGGGACTAACAGAAAGATCTGGCCAGATCATAAAGTCCATTTCAAGCTTTTCAGGGGCCAGACAGTAAATCTGCTTGCTCACTCAGCCCCTCAGCCACATGTTGGGACACTTGCTCTGTCAGAGACAAGAATAATTTTGCTGCACAGATACCCCTCTACCCCTGTAAAAATTGAACAAAATTAGCTGAAATTGTGCAAGGCAAACTACACATATCTGGTATTACTGCCCCAGGCTCAAAGCACTAAAGACTATATGATGACAAAATTTTACCCATACACAGTCAAGTCAAAACTCTAAAATCATATGCCTCCTGTAAGAAAATGCTGCAGAGAAACACTGTATTCTTCAGCCATCCTTTACTCTCTCCTGATCTTAACAGTTATGACCTGCCATTGTACTCAACAAGTTTTCTTGGTCTCTGAACCCAAAATCCATCTTTTCCTGACATGAGGATCAACTGATCTCATGATCTGATAACACACAGATCTGCTTTGGGAAAACTCTTAAGGCTCCTTTCATCTAATCTCCCACTTCTCTGTCAAACTGCAGATGCCTGTGATGGGGTCTCTCTGGCTCACATTGCTGCCCACCTCCAGAAGGCAAAGTTAGCGCCCCTGGAACACCAATTCCACCACCTGTACATTTTAATTAATCTCTTAATTTTAATTAATGAAACTGCAGTTAGACATGAAGGGTTCATTCAGCTGGATTTGTCCTAGCACATGTGAAATCAGAAATGCTCTACCAGTTACCTACTGGTAATGTCATCTGTCTTAAAATTGTAATGAGCACTTAAAAAACTCTGATCAATAAATTACTAGGGACTCTGAAGAAACAGAAAAAATAACACCCACAGGATGCCCTTCCCCCATCTAGGGGTATTTCCAATATTTCTTGACATATTTATTAAAAGCTGCATTTTGGACAGATGTCCTAGTGTTGTATATATATATTGTGGTAAACATGGAATTACTTAAAAATTTATTTTAATTAGAAAACAAATCAACAACCACAATCCTATACTAGCAGAATGACTACAAACTATAAATTAAGAAATGGTGACCACTTTAGTAGAGTGAACTTTAGTAAAGCAGATTCAGCATACTCAGCAAAGAAGTGATTGTGGTAAAATTTGTGAAACTGAAGGATAATGAGATGTTATGTCTTGTATTCCTCTTTTCAGTTATTTGCTTCCTACACCATTTCTGAACTAAAGACCAAGATAAATTGAAAAGGCAGGGCTACAGAGAGATAAACCAACTGATTCTTTTGCTTTCTTTCCAATTGCCTTAGCCTCTTTTTGTCCAGACCAGAGACCCTGCTCCCTAGTGACAACAGGGCACTCATGATGGTCTTTGGAAAAGGAGACCATTACATAAGTGAAAACATCTTAGTACCTTCCAGTCAAGGCACCTCTCCAGCTCCCCTCCCACTCCAGCTGTCTGTACTCATGAGTTCCATGTTTTCAGATATGTGGGGTCTTGGATTTGTTTATCCTTTTGAGCCTACTTTTGTGAAACCACTCACACACAGAGTTTTGCACGTCTGACCAGGGTGCCCCAGCAAAACAGGTGAAATGACTTGCAGAATAGAGATGTCAGTAATTTCTCAATGTTTTCTTCCCCTCTGCTTGTGTCTGTTCCACCTCTGGAACACAAGTAATTCTGAGGGAAAATGAACTGAAGAGCCCTGGTTTCCCACAGACTTACAGTGAGGCTGATAATGAGCTGTAATTGAAACTTTTCTCATTACCAAGACATGTATATGGTCTCTCAACCATGTGAATCACAGTTTAATAAGAGGCAAGTTCATGTTACAGCCTTTGGGACATTTACAGGATCTCTCAGCCCTACCCAGCTGCCTGTTTTCATGAAATAGCTTAATTATATTTGAGATAGATTTAGGTGAAACTGCCCAACAGCTTCAAAAGTTATTGGAGAAGTAAAAGAGACACAGCCAAGCATGATCACATAAAGGCCTGTTTCCATAGAAACCAAGAGGAAAAACAGCAGTGCAATTTGAAAAATTTCATTGCAGAGTCACTTTAATTGAAATTTTAAAAATATCTGACCGTCTTTAAATCACATGCCACAACACAAAGTACATTTCTCCTGCCTTATCCCATTCAATACCCCATCGGCAGACCCCTGCTTTCATGTATGCCGCTCTCCTATATCCTGCAGGCACAGAAACTACGCTTCTTAAAGTTAAACATCTCAGGATATTGTTCTGAGCGTATTTTGTCAACCTCCGCTTTGGATGAAAACTACTTTTTTAGTCAAGGCAAGTTTCCCAGAAAGACAGGCCAATTGGTACACTCCATGGCTCTCACACATGAGGCACAGGACAGAAGTAATAAAGGGGGAGCTCACAGGAGAAGGGAGCCACAGAATCACCTGCTGAACAGTCTATTTCGCTGCTGGGGCTCTAGGGAGGATCTGCAGGTTGGAGTGTGGGATTTTGGCCACCAAGGACAAGTATGAGAAGGCAACCTGTGCGAGGGTGGTGAACACCTGCTGGGTGACAGTCAGGAAATTTCTTTGGACGAACTGCCACCCTTCTTTGTCATACCCTCTTCAGGTGTAGCACGCACCTGAGCCACCAGTTCTGGCCCCAGCACCCAGTATAAACAATAATGCCCACGTACAGCTCGATAAACTGAGACCTCTGAGTGGAGTGAAGCCACTCTGCAAACGCCCTTGACACGGACAGCCTCGAAGCAAACAGGCGTCGCTTGGTTTTGTGGCCACAGCCCGAAGCCCAGCTACTTTTGGTCCTTCCCGGCTGCGAGCAGAGCTCCTCGACCGCAGGACCCTTCTCCGCTCCGGCTCGGCCAGCTCCCCCAGCAACGCGATGGGTTCGAGGAGCTGCCGGTCCCCTCGCGGCTGCAGTGTCCGGCCGGAGCGGCGCTGGGCAGTGTCCGGCCGGGACCGGAGCGGCGCTGGGCAGTGTCCGGCCGGGGCCGGAGCGGCGCTGGGCAGTGTCCGGCCGGAGCGGTGCTGAGCAGTGTCCGGCCGGGACCGGAGCGGTGCTGGGCAGTGTCCGGCCGGGGCCGGGGCGGTGCTGGGCAG